TATAAATACTGTATGTACACCAGCCATTCTGATCATCTAAGGAAAATATATTTCCTTGGTTTTATATTGCTTAAAAAATGGGTTTAGGCAGCAGCAGCTAACTGTGCCAGTTCAGGTGCAGAATAAACATGCAACACACACACAGCTACACACACTCTGCTGGCCGAGACTGTGAGAAAACACAGCTAACATTACAACTGTTACAGTAAAACTGATAAAGAAAGTCAAATAAAACTGATAAAGTAACAACTTATTGAAGGAGACAGCACACATTTTCCACGTGCACCAATTAGTCCAAACAAGGCAGTTTGTTGTTGTTAGTGTCCTCTCTGATGAACTTCACCATCACCATCATATTCAAAATAGGTGGTAAACAGACAAGTCCATCAGGGTACATTCATTCCTTTGTTCTTGTGATAAAAACATCCCTCTTGTGAGCGAAGCAAACAAAGGCACTAACAACTCTCTAGCGGGAGGGGTGCTCATTTAATCTGCACGTGAGTTTAACAGCGCAAGGGATTATCTCTTGCTGTTTAAAGCTTGAAGCTCCACATTCTCCAGTCTTGTGCAGAGAAAGTGAAACAGCTTTGACTATAAAGTAGAAATGCAGGTTTTTTTTTTTAGTTTTTTAAAGGTTTTTGGACTTGCAATGAGCAGGATGACTGAGAATCTACATCAGCACACATACAGCATGATTTTCCTCCTGATACAGATAATGTTTATGCTCTAAGCATGTTGATGTATCCCTTTGTCCCTATTAAAAAGCTTAATGCAGGGCAGGATGCAGTTTTTTTTTTTTTGGCAATGCCTTCTGCCCTTATGGCCAAACTAGTGTCAACACAGTTACAGCAGCTGAACTGCTTGTTTTTTACACTCTACTCTTCACTGAGCCGGACACTCTGGGAAGTTTGGGTCATAAAACCTAAAGTCCAATTAAAAAGCATAGCCAGCAGCATTTTGGAGTCTTCAGCTGGGTTCTAAATTAAACTAGAAAAATAGCATTTCCTGCAAAAATGCTGGTGTGAATGCTTCTTGCTGAAAACTTAATCTAAAAGCTGCTGAAATTGAACTGAAAATATTTAATAGCAAAAGTATTAATGTGAGTTCAATTTAAAAAGTTGAAAGAAGCAAAAACAATGCATAACTTTGCAGAAAAACAGTATATAAGAGCAAAAATACAGTTGAAATAGCAGAAAACAGCAAAAAACTAAAATGACATTTAAAGAAAACATCTGTAAAGAACATTAAAAGCACAAATTGACAGAAAAAAATACACAAAAAGTAGAAAAATCTGAAGAATAGCAGAAAGAAGCAGATCTAAAGCTGAAAAATAATTAAAAAGCTAAAATTAGCATAAAAACAAGCTAAACATAGCAGCCACAAGTTGTAAATAACAACCAAATAGTGAAAGTTTTGTAAAATAATAATAATAATAATAAAATTAGCATAAAAAATGATTAAAAGTGCAAAAAGTGACAGTTTGTAGTAAAATATCTAAAACAGCTTCAGTAAAACAGCTAAAATGTAACTGGAAATTCTTTATTAGCATAAGGAAGCATAAGGAGCACACGTTTGTTGAACTTAACAGAAAAATCAAAAAGAAAAAATAAGTAGGTCCTCTGGATGGGTTCTTCTTTAGTGAAACGTTTCGTCTCTCCTCCAAGAGACTTCTTCAGTCTGATGAGTTTCAGGTGAACTCAGCCTTATAAGCTCCGCCTCCACATGGTGGACAAACAGGTTAGTCACATGCAAAAGAGGGCCATCGCCTAACAATAGGCTTGATTAGCTCTACTGTTCATAGAGGGTCATGTGCCCCATCACCTGACTTATTGGTTTGGATGCTTCGGCTGTGGTTATTTGGTGTTTTGTATGTAGTGAATGCAAGCGGGGCTCGACGCCCCCTTTTTTTTTGTCTCTCTTTCCCTCTTTGTGTTGGGTATCGTTGGGGCCCTCTTGCATGTGACTAACCTGTTTGTCCACCATGTGGAGGCAGTGCTTATAAGGCTGASTTCACCTGAAACTCATCAGACTGAAGAAGTCTCTTGGAGGAGAGACGAAACGTTTCACTAAAGATGAACCCATCCAGAGGACCTACTTGTGTTTTTCTTTATGATTTTTTCTACCTGGATTACTGAGATGCATCAGGACACTTAGCAGAAATATGTTGTAATAGCTGTAAAAAATGTGTGTTTAGCTTAAAACAGTTAACTTTAGCTAATAACAACTGAACATTAACTTGAATTGCAGCAAATAGCTGATTATAGCAGAAAGCATCTCTCATAAATATCTCAAAGTAGCACAAAAAGTGGAAAAAGCAGAAGAATAGCATAAAGAAGCAGACTTAGCTGAAATGGTAGAAAAAAGCTAAAATTAGCAAAAAATAGCTAAAATTAGCACAAGAAAGTTGAAAAAAGAGCAGAACCAGAACAAAATGTGTGAGGTGCTGAAAAGTTCTAGAAATATTTTAAAGGATTTTAAGGATGTTGAAAACAGCTCCATTCATTTTCAGTGGCAAAAAAGTGGCAAAAAAATGTAAATAGCTAAAAAGTATATGCTAGGAAGCATTCACTAGGGCTGTGTATTGGCAAGAATTTGGCGATACGATACATATCATAACAGAGGGGTCACGATACGATATATCCTGATATATTGTGATACTGTAAGCAAGGAGATTAATTGCGATATATTGTGTTTTTTTTTTGGTCCAAAAATTCTATTAAATAAAAACCTCTTACTGAAAAAAAAGAAAAGCTAATGTTTACTTACAATGCTAATGCTACCCTTACTCTCTGGCGCTCAAGAGGTAGAGGAGCCAAATGTCTGTCTCACTGCTGCCAACTAGTGGTCAGAGGCTGAACTACAACATAAAAATGAACGGTTGGCAAGAAGGTTGACATTTTAAACCTTAATTGAAAATCGATACAGGGCTTTAGAATATCGATACAGTATCAAGAAATAAAATATCGCAATATTTCAGTGTATCGATATTTTCTTACACCCCTAGCATTCACACAATAAATGGTCAGAGCTAGTGCTAGCCGTTATACTCTCAACATGTGAGCAGCCAGTAGCATGCTTTCTGAAAACTGTGGATGAGTTTGAACAGCTGCTCCTCAGAAAAGTTACTGCCATGTTGTTTTAATAACTGTCAACAGGGAGCGGTTTCACTGCGCAACATGTCTGCGGTTGCAGTCCAGTTCTTTGTTGAGCTCTGGTGGTTTTAAAATCTGTATGCCATCTCTGTGCTTTGAAATGCTTTGATCTGCTATATTGACGTAAACTGGAGCGCCGCACGCTGACTCTTGGTGTGCGAAGCATAAGGGGTAAATTTCTTCCATGTGTGAAGTCCCTATGAAGTTGAGATCAGTCTTTTCCACAGAAGAAGAAGGTGGGGAAAATCAAATTAAATTCAGCACGGCCCTTCCTGCAGGCAGAAATATGCCAGATCATCGGTCTTGACACGTTGGAGTAAGATGATGGTTAACTTGTTTCCTCATATGTCACCTTTTCTTTTTCGTTTCTTCTGAACCACTCTCTTCCTGCTGAAATCCCTGCACCTGCCACGTGAGTCATGGCTGAACTTTGCAGAACTCTTTCACTGAGAGACGTTTACGGTTTTCCTCTGCAGTCACTCCAGCGTTGAGTCACTCCAGCGTTGAGTCACTCCGCTCCACGTTTTTGACGAGTTCAAGGGCAAAGAGGAAGTGCTTTGGGTTTTTTTTTTTTTTTTTTTTTTTGGCACACGAGTGAGGCCCTGGCCTGGGCTTCTCCCACTAAATGTGCCTCTCGTGTTGCTTGTGCAAACAAGTGTTAGTGTTTGATATAAATTTTTTCCTTCCTTTTCGCAGGATTTAAGAGGAGAGGGACGGCTTGTGGGGCGCAGTGGTGTGAGCTGCTGCTCATTCAGTTTAACAAAACACAGGCCTCATTGCTTTTTAAACAGGAAGTCGTCTGGAAGAGAAAAAGAAGAAACATTTTCTGTCCCTGCAGAGGTGTCAAAAGTGCCTTTGTAATTCTTGCCTACAGAGTCGTATTAAACTTAGAACCAGAAAAAGATGTGCTCAATCACCATAAAAAGGATAATTAAAAGGCAAAGCTGGGTGGGTTTCTGTCACCAGACCCTCTTTTTAGGTTGCGGACCCATTTGTGTGTGATTAAATGAGCCGGGGTCACACGGACGGCAACAGCAGGAGGCAGCAGTCTGCATAGTTTTCACGCCATGCTTTCAGTAGAAAAGTTCTGCCAGGGGAAGAAGTTAATGAGAGGCTGGGAGGGGGTGGTGGAAGCAGACAGAGTGGGAGGGGGGGTGCAGAGCTCACAGGCACAAGAGAAAGAAGGGGAACGCACAGAAAGAGGCTATGGAGCATGAAAACACTACTTACCCTCCGTTTGTATAAGAATACAAGTTGAGAGTGAAACCATGAAGGAGCTCTGTGTGCACTCCTCCCCCTCTTCCTCTGCGTTTTCTGGATGTCCTGCATGCCAGCCCCCCATACGATCGGGCCACTCTGGGACCGTCAGGCCACCGGGCATGGTGTCAGGGGACTCCAGCACGGACATGGACCCGCTCGGTCCTGATTACGTGTCTATGTGTCTGTTGGCAGACGAGTCCTACCAGAAGCTGGCCATGGAGACGATGGAGGAGCTGGACTGGTGCCTGGACCAGCTGGAGACCATCCAGACTTACCGGTCCGTCAGCGAAATGGCCTCAAACAAGGTGAGGGGACTTTGTGCCTGTTTGTACAGTTACCATGATTTTAAGACAAACGCAGCGTGTTGCTTTTAAACTTTACTAAACTGAAAACTGAAAAGAAATCCTGGCTAAAAGCCAGAGTTGTAAAGTAATTAAGTACAAATACTTTGTTACTGTACTTAAGTAGAATTTTTGGGTATCTGTACATTACTTGAGTAATTACTTTTAGCCTACTCCTTACATTTTCACACAATTATCTGTACTTTCAACTCCTTACATTTTTTAAAAAGGTAAGAAGTTGAAAGTTGTTACTTTTATTTCATTTTTGCTTGTTTTCATTCCAGCTTGTTATTGTAAAATATAAATACTGTCCATATAAACTGTGCCTCCTAGATAGAGTGAATTTAATTATGGTATGTCTGAATGTCTGTATGTATGTATGTATGTATGTATGTATGTATGTATGTATGTATGTATGTATGTATGTATGTATATATGTATGTATGTATGTATGTATGTATGTATATATGTATGTATGTATGTATGTATGTATGTATGTAT